TACAAACGACTAATTATTATCTGAAATGGCAGGAGTACCGTTAACAGACTGACCTCTGGTATTGAAGTCTGCCGGTCAATATGTCTCCGATTACAAGAGAAATCATCCAAATTGAGAATTGTGACTATCCGCTTGCTATTTGATGAAAGTAATATTCCTGTAGGGGATCATAAATCATCACCATTGAAACATGTGACATCAGCCGTTTTGGCACTGTCAAGGCTTGTACCCAACGAAAGAGTTTGATTAGGATCACGGGTGCTACTCAGCAACGGAGTGAACGACATTCTTGTAGTGCATCAGAAAATCATCAGTTTCACGGTCCACGTCCGCAAAAGTAGTAGAAGAGAATAGAATAATGGCAGATGTTTGTGCTTGGTCAATAGATTCTGCAAGTTCATTGCCTGGGGATGTCGTGGAGCCGTAAACAGATGCTATAATCCAAGAACTTCTAACCGTTCCTTTAGGGATTTCGCAGTGAAGTGTGTGCCCTTGCAAGTGATCAAACATTTGGTACACCCTCACGTCTGAATACTTTTTTAATGCTAGGTGAGTGAGTTCAGCACTGGGAGTAGTACGTAGAAAAATTTTAGGACAACGTGAATATGCGTAAATAATAATTAAAGCATGGTATTTGCCGCGAAAAGGACCATAGTGAACGGCATGAACTCGATGAAACGATTGCCGAACAAGCTAGCATGAGCCAAATGGAATAATTCGTCCCTTGGGTATTTGCATGCCACCCGTAAGCTTAGAACATTTAAGAATCGGTTTTTGGGGTCCATTATCGAAAGAAGTCGGCAAGGTGATACGTATTCGCAGTCAGCGCACAATTTTGAGTCCGATAGTCGATGGTTCCTAGGTTGAAACCAAAAAAATACAATCAATAGAGATGTCTCTGGGCAATTTCACACCGATCGTGGAGCTAAAATTATAGATACAGGATTTTCGTTGATAACGAGAATGCTTACAACTGTAGGCAATGTCACGACAGTGGACGCGAATGCAGTTAGATCTGAATGTGGAATGATGGGTTCAACACCTCCAGCGCCAACAATGAAGCCATGCTTTTGACCAGAAGCATATATCAAGGTTTCAAAAACGTGACTAATTTCGAATGGCAACAGATATCGTTATGCCCATTACATAAGATGATGATCTAGATGATCCAGATTCCATACAGGCACCACTTGACCGCTCGCAATGCTTGACGCTGGAGTGGGTGGAGCGTGGCAACGGCACGTGACCGAAAAGCATGTCGGGCGTACTTCCAGTCTAGCCTCTCTGATCCGCCAAAAGCCTGGACCAACAGCACATCATCTTCCGGCAGTCGAGAGTGCCGTTTCCAAGGGGTGCATGCGGAAGGCGTGGAAATTAGGCAATTGGTGACGCAGCATACAAATCAAACATAACACAATTTTGATACGTTTTCCACCATGATTCTGGCGTTCCTTCACGCTACGCACAATTCACGTCGGCTTTGAGCGATAACGCTAGGTTCGTGAGAAAATTGCTCTTCAATATCTTCCAGGAAACCAACAGCCAAAATGGGAATGAAAGGAATTCCGCAACCCTCAATAGTACTGACACATATGATTATCATGAATCAGTCAAATACAGATCGGTGAATAGCGTGCATTATTCGTGCACAAAATCAGGGTGAGCAAAAAGCGCGGTTTTCGGGGACTTAGTGGCACATCGCTTTCGGAAGGGTATCCTTACCGGCAGGTTTCTGATGCTCGCTAACTTATTACTCAATTGAATCAACATGCGGCCAGTTTACTTGAGCTTTTCTCATTCATTGTATCCCGATCTATGCCTCGTTTTCGTGATTGTGATTTCCTTCAGATTACGTTTTTCTACAACGATTCCCGTCATTTTGTTTGGGTAAATAAGGTAGCGAATGAAGGCCACCACCAAACCTGCATCTGATTGTAAAGAGATTAGGTCAATTAAAGTCGTAACTTTTTCGTTCCTTGAGAATACTCAGGCGTCAAGCCTGCGTGATCGTCGTCGGGTGTATGGAACCACTGCCAGGTTGATTTCAAACAGACCAAAAGCAAATGAGTTAAACCGTTGTTTGCGCTGCTCTAGCCACCCTAACTATTAGGTGCCTGAGTATTATGCATCAGCGGAACCATGTGTTTTCGACTTAGAACAACGGTCCGTATAATGCACCCATCAAGTCTAGTCACTCGTGAATATGGGCGGGTATATGAAAGTGTAGGTTGCCGTAGGGATCAGTCTACAGCAGTTCCATCATTCTGCATTGCCGAGTTCCTATTCATTTTTACTTAGAATGGTTAGGCGGCGTAAGGTTTACTTATTTGAAGTGCGAAAGCGGACTCAACATGGAACCATCGAACGTCGTGACAGTCATATCTAATGAAGTCACCGAAGTGAATTTGAAGTTCGGTTGCACCTAGCTATTTTATTTCTCCATAACATTTTATGATTATCATACACATTATTATTACACTTTATTACACTTGCTTTTTTAGTGCCAATCCGTGCTGATGAGCACCTCACTTCGATGGAGTGTCGGCTCATTCCATCTACCGAGATGTAACCCGCAAATACTGTCAGCCTTTTCCTTTAGGCCTGTCAATTGCCAGTTTCAAAAGTGAAGGCAAAATGCGTACATTTGCGAACGAGGTTAGCAAGCTCTACACTCCAGGACTCTCTTCGACTGAAGCGGTCACAGTGAATACTAGTTATACGTCGCGGTGCTCTACCAGCTCGTTGTACGTGATACGCCGACGATCCTAATCGCAAAATATCAGCACGTTCCTAATTTTTGATCACAGCACACCGACGAATGTAAGTTGGCGCATACTACACGGTTGTGTGGTAATATCGCTTCATCAACTGAGTGAAAATGGAAACCATCTACGGAGATCTTCAACCAGCTCGGATGTTAAATGTGCGTGAATTGGTTCCAGAGCGTGTACCAGATTCATAGGAGATTCAGCTGAGGATGCATAACATTGGACCCGACATAATACAAGATATTTAATTAGAGTCCTGTCCCCGAATACGATGCTGATAATATGACCGCTGGCGAAGGTCCACATTTACATGGTACCAGAACAAGACGTAACACATCCTCTCAAATGTACTGACCTAGAATAAACAGCATTCAACTTCTAAAATAATAAATACAACTTGCTGACTTTTGCTTTGAACAAAACCGATTCGTTGGTAATCGGGCCTTCGCGCAACGACAAAAAACTCCGAAAATACAATACCTTCCCAGGAGCAATATGCAAGGAGTGAACGGAATGGTCATTTCAATCAATTCCGGAAATATTTCCCTCACTACACGAGTATTCAGCTGCTGAAAAAAATAAAGCTGTGAGTGCCAGTAATAATCACCTTATGTGAAAGCAGCCAATTTGCAGAAACCACACAGAAACCGCATCAATACTGACATGCAGTGAAAAAATCGCAAAAGTATATCCGAGACTTACTGTCAATAAAACGGACGAATCTCGTGGATTATACTTGATAAGCAGCGGAGAGTATACGGAGTGGGAGCGCCCGAATACATTCTTAATCATAACCGAATTGGGATAATGCGCGGCTACACACTCCTAAACCGTCTTGCATCAAAAATACCTTGGCCACGATGAAGAGTGGGTCAAGCTGAGAGACCCTCATTTCGACAGGTAGGCTTGGAACGGCTAGCAGTCACATCTGACTCATCAAATCTTATCGCGCTAAATAGCACGACCACCTGCTGTCGCGTAAAGCGAAAATTTGATCACAGCCACCTAAGTACACTGGACGATAACGTACGCTAAATTTTGCACACTGTCGGACGGGAACGATGGTTAAATCATCAAACGAAATTCGCCCTTAACGCATTGTAAACCATCGCGTTCTCCGATTACTGAGAACCCAGCCCATCAACCTCAAAATAAAGACGAAACAAGCCGGTCTCCTCGCCTCCCAAACAGTCTGTCCATTCCGCAGCGATTGAGTGGTGATTTGTGCAGACCTGGTAGCCGGTTGCCACTACGGGACAACCTAAATCCGATCGGCGTGTTTCAGAAGCAGAGTGTCGCGGCCATATTTCATCATGTATCGGAGTCAGCCACCTTTATATGGAACAGGAAAGCCCACAATATACCAGTAAGAGATGCGAACAACTCTCCCCATTTAAGTCACAAGTCGGATAATTCACATGTTAAATGCGACTTTACTGCTTAGGGCATATACCCATGTGCCAGGTGAACATTTTCTCCGGCTCTCAAAGTTTCGATCGTGGGAATGTAGATGGATGTGACACATGAAATCAAGCATTGGAGACCCCGACATGATCGGCTCGTTTGAAAGCTAAGCGGCTGCACGTCTAAGGAGATTGGTTTGACCGGGCCATTGTGCCATATATCAGCATGATTAACCACCGGTGATGTGAGTCCTGCGGTCGCACCCAGGGAGAACGCATTTGTCGAACCTGCTATGTTTACCGGTTTCATACTGCAGTGGCGAGTCGTAAGCTTTCCACTTCTGTATTAAGTGCAGTCAGCACGGGGGGGGCAAGTGAGCATTAAAAAACTGCCGATGACCTCACGTACTGATTACATGTCCTAATCAGCGTAAGATTTGAAGCAGCCAGGGGGGGGAATAAATCCACCACGTCAATTGGGTGGTGTACGATCACATGTTGGATTTGCGTGTGATTATCTAACCTTCTATAAGGATTTTGCATTTTGCAGGTGTGAAGCGCACGCTTAACTGTGCGAACTTGTTATAAATATTATGTAAGGTGGCTTGCGGCTTTGTGGGTTCTGAACCTAGAACGGCAGTGCCGTCAGCATACGTGATGAACATTCTCCAGGATGGGTTTATGGTTAACCTGGCGAAGACACTCCACATGGCAGCTATTACAGACGTGCAATGTGCACAACTATCAGAACGTAACTTTACTATGTGTTTAGCGAGATGCAATGATATTGAATTAAATCCATCTGCAGGTGCATAGACCCAAGAGCAATATGAACCCAATAAAACCAGGGAGTTCTCTGAAACATGTTCCTTTGTTTCCAACCATGGTAAACAACACAATCGACTTGTTTTCCTCCACGGAAGGAATGTGAATTTGGTCAGGGGGATTATACAGCCCAACGCTAGGGCTTGAAACGGAATTCATGGTTTGCTGAGGATACTGGAGTCTAAATCAGTCCCTGGATGGCGGGATTCGGATCCCAAAACGCCGAAATTTACTTCGAGCCCTGGCCTATTTAATCGAATGTGCATGCAAGTGAGCTCATGGCTACACATTATTAGGAAAAAGCCACACTCGTCTTACAAATACAACAGTAAATAATGAAGTAACCTAAAACTTAGACAAACTGAGATTTAAAAGTGCTTCCGTTTGGTGAAGAATAGAACAGAACAGCTGAACACATTTCACATTAATGTCACCATTTGCGCAAAATTGTGGTTTCATCTACGGTCTTGTTATCTATTTTTAACCGGATCATAACCAAAAAGGATTCCGTTGTATTCTCCTTGCTTCCTTGAGGCATAGAAGCACAGTTTTGATGTTACACATTAGCCGGTTTTACGGAACGACTCTCAAGAGTCACGATCGCCCGAGCCATTACTGAGCTTATCAGGCAGGCATAGACCCCGAGTTCCACTCTGGCAAGATTACTTTCTACTTAAATTCAAATTGCAAGCAGTTAGCGACCCACACCCATCGGTAAACAAATTTCGATATTCCTCAACCGCATGTGCTGCACAAAACCGTCATAATCACAATATTTTGATAGAGGTAACACAATACTCACAATGTTGCTGAAAAGCCCTTGATAGTCAACGACCGGTATCAGTGTTTGAGGCGCATCAGGAAGGTGCGGTTTTCGGCATCCAACCCCGTCACTCATGTCAGTCATCAAACTTAACTTCACAAAATAGGTCCAGTTCAATAGCCTACATAGCAATTTCGTTTTCCTGGAGGGAAGTAGCACTACGTCGTACCAACGGATTTGCTGCCCTCCGAATAGGTAACATCTGTTACGGGCTGAGATATAGTGTTTATGCTCTCCAAATCAAAGTACTCATGTTGGTGAAAAACGTTTTGTTGCATCTCTTCTAGTTACTCGTATGGAACTGATTGAAGCGATTTGAACATAACTGAACTGTAGAAAAACTGTATTAACACCCACCAATCACTCGGGGGAACATGCCGGTTAGCGCTGCGCTCCCTGAGGGTTGTAGTTATCCTGAATTTACCTTGAACACGCTTCGATAAATTGTGTGATCACAGTCCCGATGGAAATGAGTCATTTGTTTGAGGCAAATAAGGTGTGACGGATAAATGGACAATGTTTTCAACAGCTTGCAATAAAATTCACTTTAGAGGAATTCGATGAGACGTACTGTAAATTTCGTCATTCTAGTTAGTTGACGATCAGTTGGCCGTTGACCTGAACCTACCTGAATTCGCGAAGATCATGTCTAATCTCAGGAAGGCTGCTGGAGATTCGTCAAGACCGCGAACGAAAATCAATAAAACGACAATTGTGAATGTTGCGCTTAATCGGATTTGTCCTGCCCTGCATAGCAGTTGGCCATTTCCTCACCTGTTCTACTCTGTTTAGTTTGACATCGCTGATCTTAACCTATTTGACTGACGGATGAATAGTAACGTTACCTTGACGTAAACGCTGATTCCTTGAAGGGGTTCCAGTTGCTTATTAGAATAGACGCGACAAAAAATTGCTAAAGATTTCTAGTCTTTCTAGGTAATGTTCCCATTCAGTCATTGTGTTCTCATTTCGTTCACCCACATCAGTCACAAAAGTCGCTGTTGTAATCAGCATTTTATACGCCAAATAAATTCACCTATATTTCAAACGCACGTTTCCAGCGACAAAATCGAAATGATCCAAGTTGACAAGGCTGATTTGAACGGGAAGCAAAAACTGTCATGTTGCATTTGGAACAGAGTTCACTTTGATGAATGTATACATGATCGGTGGATTGTGCTTAATCCGAACACAGATTACAGCAGGTTTTTAAATTAAATCGAATACCCAACCAAACATGGATCAGTCCACCCAATTAACCCGATAGCCAGACCATACGTAAACTCGAAGAACTGCTCATTTTTGGACGCAGAAGACTTGACTCGTTTTGGGATTTCAAGGGGACTCAGGATGTCAGGGGTCTGAGTTTTGAACATTTTTCAGCCGATTTTAAAGCGTTCGTAATACGCTATGCACCGCACACCGTGAGATGAGTTCTCATCGGCTGGCTTGATTAGGTTGCCTGCTAAATTTCCTATGCTGGAAAATCCCGATGCAGGCAACGATGATGATATCGAACTCTTCTGGAACATCTTGGTCTGACACGTGCGGTCCTTACCTTACAAAATTTCAGTCCCGGAAGATCATTGTCTAGGCCACTGATGCCAAACACGCCTGGAAATGACTAGCCTCCGATCGACCCAATCCAACAGGAAGCTGACCTGTTACGACGATTGAATACTTAATAGAAACTTGAACACTCAGACCAAGAATGAGCGCGAATTCGACAATCTGGATTGAGAATACAATGACAGCCGTGGTTGAGCGAATTCACAGGTCAGGCATTTGGGCTGCAACTGGATTTCCCATTCCCCAAAAGCAGTATTATGGCTATGGAATCCTATCATTAACCGAATTTCATCATGCCGCCGCTGAGCCACGTGACTAGGAGAATAACTGCCAAACCCTTCACAAAATGGACGTCCTCAATTTCTTACCCCTGGGAGTTCTGATGATTTCATATGAAGATGAAATCTTAGTTAAAAATTATCAAATCCTCCTACTCTATCTGGTTATTTGGGCACATGTACTACGTGACACAAAGGTTTTCTGTGCCTAAACTCGTGCATAAATTGTGTGAGGTTAGTTGAAATATTTTTCAACATAAAGCTGTGCTTGGTCAGCTGGAGTTGATCAAGCCTGCAACTGTATATCAGTTGTGTTTCAAGCGCTGAAGATTTTATCGAACGGGCTGGGAAAATTTAAGAACCTTATCCATGATCGTCATGATAGTTAATAGAAACGACGCTCATTCTCCTGTGTTCGGTTTCAATGCACCATGAAAATGTAATCCAGTTCGCGTATGGTTGCTGAAAACCCACTGGCCGCTCATCGAACGCAGCATATTTGTTTATATAGGATCATCATGTGACAGGGGTTCTACTCGCCTTTGATTTTTTAAAACAGATGAGCGTGTAACTAAGTGTATTATCGAGCATTGATGAGTCCGGTTTGGGGTAGAACATAGGTAAAAAGAAACCTGTAGACCGTACCCGCCTCAGCAGGATAGCTCACCGGATTCCACAGAGTTTCCGTTAACTTCGTCGGTACTTCGGCACATTTAGACAACAACGTATCACTATAACTTGAAAATTGAGTCTATTTGATCATTAGCCGCCCCATTTCAGGGCGACAGGAACGGGAGATTAAGCTTACCAAAGTTGAGTCTGCCGCCAAAAATGGAAGTTATTGCATAAATTTTGCCGTCCGACGTGAGACCGAGTAGAACAAAAAGTTGAAGCGAACTCGTGCACACCGTATGTTTGATGAGACCCAAACAGTGCGGACCTGATGGATGAGTGTCGAAGATTAGTCAACCCATTTTAATTACTTTGAGCTGCTGGGTGCATTTCGTGCATCGATATGAATATCTCAACTTCATGCGAGCTTCTTCTGTTCTGCTGCATTTATGTAAAGAATCCCATTGAGAGTCCATCAATCATTGATATGTCATCATTCTCAGATGGAATCATCCACGCTAGTAGCAAGTTAAAACTTTTCTGTATTGTTTGTCGTCACCGGCCGTGGCCAAACTCTAACGTGTGCCGCATACATTGTAAGGCGTGTCCCTATCGGATGGTCCTGGCGAGATTTATTTGCCTGCCTGACTTAACGTGCACTGGTACTACCATGCAGAAACACTCCGGGGACCATAGCTGTTGAACAGCTGTGATCTGGAACATTTTGTTCTGAAACGTGCGGTTCTAACCTTACGATCACTTAGCCGTTCGTGGCAAAACCTTGACTAGTTCAGTGTAATCGGAAACGTCTGGAAATGCACAGCCTCCGATCAACTTAATCAAAGGTGAAGCGGATGTTTTTCGGCGACTTGAAAAATTGAGGAAATACACGGGTTTGTTATAAATATACACTGATGTGCCCAGTGCATGAAACGATGATCGTTTTGCCAAATTCGACAGAGATACAGCCTAACAACATGTAGATTGTTTCTGTTATGGCTGAGACGATACCACGCACTCGACTAGTGATCCGAACGGACGGTCTACTAGTCCAGTATCTTTGATAGGCGGGAAGGCTGTACCCAACAGTTCAACATCGTTCAGCAGCCGCCGAATTATTCTTCCAACAGGCGCATGCAAAAGCCTATCACAAAATTTGTGACGCCGAATACACATTGTACACGACACATTTTACACGCTTTTGACTATGTTTCGGACGTTCATCCACGCTGGTTTTAGACGGTTACCCTAGGTCCAAATGTTCATACCAATAATTAAGCTTTGAAAACAACATTATTTGGATAGACTTGTGACCATGACTGCTCTGTCCACCACAAATTGGCTGTTTAAAATTTTCGAAGAAACGTCATCCAAAATTAAAAATCATGTTTTCTACAACCCCCTAAAGTATTGACACGCATTTAATGACCATAAATCAATCAAAAAGAGACAGTGAAATCGGGTGTGATATGCAGAAAGTCGGGATGAGGGACAACCGCGGTATAGGGAATTCAATCGCACACTTTTCTCGCAAAGACCTCCTTTGGTTCGATTGTGGTGCATGCGTACGTGATCGGGACCTTGAACTTTTGTGTACCTGCGACGAATCCCGTCATTTTGTTCGGGTGGATAATTTAGGGAATGAGGGTCTTGACCAAAATTACTTCTGATTGTAAACCTGTTAGTCTAAGAGTCCTAACTGCATTTTGCTCAGGCGTCATACTCAGGCGTCAAACGTGAGAGGTTATCGTGAGGTGGACTTCAAACACGCCACGCACTGCTTGGGCCATCTTAGCTGTTCTGTACCTGAGCAGGAAACACCCGAAGAACCATATGTTTTCGTGTCAGTTGGGACAAGATTTGATGTTTGGGACTCACCACGTTTGAGCACTGGTAAATGGAGAATAGTATGTCCGGATGAAGCTAGTTAAAGGGACAAGCATGGAACCAGTCAGTCAATAGAGTTGTTTGGCTTTGTGATAATTTTGCGTTGTGTTTACGTGATGAGAAGTGAGCTAATATAAAGTGCAAATGCGGTCTTCGGAAGAAAATATCATTCCTTGTGATAATGACAAACAACCACGTTTCCAGAGTGAAGCTGAAGTTCGAACATCCTAAGCGAAATATACGTGTTATTGTAGTGCCATGTAATGTAAATGTTTTATTTCTACGAGCGAAAGGAAGAAGACCTTCTGTGAAGCAAATCTTCCCTTTTCAGAAGACGCAAAGCGAGAATCTACAAACCACACATACTACCCGCGTTTCTCCCCACCAGTAGTATCAATATTACATTAGTAATACAATGTTGTTGCTAGAGATATGCCTGTGATCGATAGAGCGCAATCCTTATTTCGATGTCGTTTCAGCTGATTTCTTCTAACATGGCGTAGTCTGAAAATCCGGTCAACCAATTCATTTGTGCCTATCGATCGCATGCTTCAACTGCTGAGGCAGAACGCGGAGATTTGAGAACGCAATTTACGAGATTCGCCCCCTAGAACAATCCTATTTTGGTTCGACCCCAGTGATTACGAGTCATTTGTTGCGGCCCACTTTCAACTTTTCGTTCGTTATGCGCCAGGAAGCGCAAATCTTGCCTGATTTCCGGATTTGGTCGGTCGTCAGAAATGAGGCAATTCAGCTCAACCTTCGAGACAATACCAGCTATAGCCCAGTTTTCGATCGGAAAAGTCGAGGAATGCTGGTTGATGAAAACTGCGGTGCAGTATGGTGATGTCACTACATCAACTCGTGTGAATGAAAATGGAAAACATCTGGGGGATTCCTCTCAGGGTTCATAAGAGCAGACTGGACATAATCCAAGACTTTCGGACAGAATACAGTCTCACAAACCTCTGATGGTTCACATCTACCAGGCAACATAACTAGGCGTAATTTATACTTTCAAGCATGCACACTGGGAGAATGAATATCAAATTTCTAATTAATACATGAAATTAATTTAGCAATGAATTAGATTACAGCGATTCGCTGGTCATCCCACACTTGAAGCAACTTCACAATGCTCCAAACCCATACACTCCCAGGAATATCAAGCAGGGTGTATACAGGATTGTGGCCCACATAAATTTCCAAAAAATATTACCGTCATTGCTCAAGCTTTAAGCTGCTTGAAAAATTAAAGCTGTGGGCGCCAGTAATTGCCAGCTTATGTGGAATCAGCCAACTTACAAAATCACATACAGCACCAATATTGACATGGAGTGATATAATCACAATAGTGCATCGGAGACTTATTGTCAAACAACGGGAAGATATCATGAAGTATACTGGAAAAACAGCAGTCTGGATACCAAAGAGCTAAAGACAACTTTCGATGACCTTCTTAGTCATACTTGAAGTGAGGATACACGGCCGCACACGCCTAAACAGAAAAAGTACTGATCAAAGTCGTAAGCAGTTAAAAAGTGTCCGGCTACTTTCGAATAGGTCGATCTCTCAAGGCAACCTCAATTTCAGCTCAAGCAAGAGGGTTTTGTAACGAGGGTATGGAGATAAAATTGGATGTTGTAATTAAGGTTTTCAGTAGGAGTTGATTCGGTAGACTAGAAAGGGGGCGAACTGAAATACCTAGTTCGTTTGTTGAAAAAGCGGAAGCCACATTCCAAAGTCAGTGTCTACTATAAGCGGGAAAGAGATGTAGGAGTACGTCCTTCAATGTGCTGCACCAAACAAAAATACTCTTGCGTACCTAATTATCCGAAAATTCGCTCCTTCAAAACTGTTACAGTGATAAGCAGTTATAAGCTTAGCCACAAATAGACAGCTTACAAAAATCCCAAAACTACGGATATGTAGATAGGAGTGAGCGTTGCGTACGCGTAATGCGGTGAATCAAGGCATAAGCTCTTATTATGAATAAATCCAGCTGAGTGAAATTTGTCCTCGAGTCTGAATGAAACCGTTAGACAAAGTGTTGTTATCGTCGAAGGAGACGGTTTTCCTTGAGGACAGATCCACAGCGTTGCTTATCTTGTGTATTTGTTGCAATCAGTGTGCTGAATATAATCGTTGTGATTCGCACATTAGGCCAAATTTGGCGGTTTTGTAATTAAGTCAAACCGGAACACGCACCGGTTGCGTACGGTTCATAGAATCTGGACGGTGATGTGATGTTCAGCGGGCACCTGAGAATGGTCTGTGACGAAGATCCAACGCAGCACAAATCGGGTGCCCTGTGCTCTAACGGATCCGC